TTTAACATAGATATGTTATTGGGCTGGGGGTCATTTGAAAAATCTGTTAAAATGTAATATAAATATTATGATATAAACTTCCTATTTTGTATTATTCTTATACTGTTAAATATAGTTTTTAATTTTTTTTGTTTTCAGATTACTCCATTCTTAAAATAAAAGCTTAAGAAGTATCATCCAGTACAATTTCATATCAAGATAATATTATAATTAAGAAGTTATAAAAATTAAATTTTAAATAATATTCAGTGCTTAAGTCATTAAAAATAATCCTACGTAGTCTTACACAATTTACTAGTTTAATGTTTTTGGAACTTAGTTATGAGTTAATAATAACAAATTTAATACTTGTCATTTTAGTTGAGACAGTAAAACAATTTTACTCGAAACTGTTTGGGAGTGTAGATTTCTCATCATTGTTTTTGAACATAAATAAAAAACAATAACATGGTCAACAAATCAAGTTACCTGTAGTTTTATCAATTTGTATTATCTAACGTGTAAGGGATTGGAGATGATTATATTCTGTCCTAACCTAATCCAACCTAATCTTCCTCAGGAGGTTCTTCTTAAAAAATCGTAAAATGTTGGATATGTCAATAAAAAATTGTTAGTTTGCAGTTCTACTAAAAAACAAAATAAAATTATAAAAAAAGGTAACCCGAGTCCTAAACATCCCAATTTAAAATTGTATAATGTATACAAAATTATCGCTATAATAGTCCGTATTATAATGTAACTGTAAACAATGACTGTAGAAAAAAAACAGTACACTTTAAGATTACAAATTTGCTGAAAAAGCCAAAAAGCTTGCAAATACTCGCAATTCGAGCATGCCATATTCAACTTATTTACATAAGAAATTCAAAATTCAAACTTTGAACTAGCAAATAAAAATCTTAGTACTTATTGAGTGTGACAAATGTTTAAATTTAAGTACATAAAAAAACAAACCAATTGCTTTCTTGTATACAGTTTGAACGAAGAAACTAAAAAAGATTACTTTTTTTTGGGATACAAAGTACATTCGAAATTCGATTCAATATTTATAAGTCGAGTTGGTTACTAGAGAGCAGTACCCCCTCCATTTTTTTTTATTTGCGCTACTAGGTTTTATTTCGAAAACCCCAAGAAAAAACAATTGTTTACACATAAACGTCACGTCGCCAGAATCAGTATAGTCAATAGAAGAATATTTTGCACCTTATAATATAGCTTTGCTTTTAAACGTACATTATCGGTACAGTTTATTTCAGATAATATATTCTTTTTATGATTTTTTTTTTAGAAGAGGAGGAACAATAATGTATATTTTTTTAAACGACATAAGATTGTATTTATTTCATTAAAGTATATTTTTATCAGTCGATAGCGAATTCGAAGCGAAATATATGTAAAGACCTACAGACTAGTTAAAATATAGTCCTCAAGGTTTCTCCACACAAGTATTTTATTGTCTTGTCAGCAATGATACTTATTGTTCCAACGTAGGTCTATCATTAGTGTAATTTCCAGACAGAATATTCCAATACAATATCCAAACTTTTTTCCATTAAGTTGTAGCTCTAAGTGGAAAAATGTGCATTTATCAAATTAGAACGAAAAACGTTAAACTTTTAAAATTGTTGGCCCAAAAAGTTACATACAGTTTTACTAAAAGAAATAAAGGATTTAAAAGTCCGTCTTATAATATAACAAAACAACGATGACTGGTTGTAAAAAAAAAATGCAAACAATACTGTTGGCATGTCTATTATTATCACACGAAAAGAAATTTTCATTTTAAAAAATGGCGATTTTAATTATTATTATCATAATTATTTAATAAACTGTCATGATAAATCATGTCAAATAAATCTATTAAAGTATGCGTTAGGGTGAACCATTAAATTGAACCTATTGAAACAAAGTTGCTAAACAATGACTGTTAAAAGAAACAGTACATTTTGGGACAATTTATAACACTGCCACGCCACGTTCGGGTAAAAAAAAAACTTGCAGCTACAACATATAACATTCGCTTTATTTACATAAGAATTTTCAAATTAAAACTAAGAACTAGCAAATAAACATCATCATTTTGGTTCGTTCGGTGCAATTGATTTTTCTCGTCAGGCACTCGGGTAAATTAAATAATTTAATGCACAAAATGAACCTAACCGAGTGTTTCGCCGCCGCCATATTGTTGATGGAGTTGTTTTTAGCATCCAATCCGTTCACGTCTTGCATACCGCAGCCCGAAATAGTCAAAGAAATACAACTTTTGCTGACTAATCCCGGATGGACAGACATCATGGACAACGTGAAAACCAAGACCGCCGAAGGGGAGTTGGGCGACGATGACGTGGCCAAGTTGGTCCAACAAAACGAGGATATTAAAACGGGAAAAATTATAAATCTGGTCAAACACATTTCGCTCAAGTTGAACTGCAGGTATTCAAGTAGAATTTCGTTCTTGCAAACGATTGTCAACGATCTGGCGACCGTGTGCGGATACATCGCTTATCCCAAGGAAAAACCTCCGTTTTCGATTTCGCCATTGAGTTACTGCGAAGAAACCCTGTTTGCGGCGTTCAAACTGACATCCATACATTTGACGTACGCCACGGGTGCGTTAAAGTATTTCCATTTGTTGAGCCCGAAAAAAATACCCTGCAACGGCTTGCTTTTTGTTAACAGATCGTTCAAACGGAACTGCGAACAATTGTTGGACTTTTACCACCGGGCAATATCGCCGGCTCTCATCAGAATTCAATTGCAAGCCACGGTAAATAGTTTCCAGACGTTTGACGAAAAGTTGAATGCATATTACCACGAGAATTGTCACGCGGAAAACGGTTACCCACAACTGTCGGCCAGATATCGTCTTGAGTTTTTCGGTTTTAAAGAACAATTCGATTTGCACCAACTACTCCAATATCTCCAGACGAAAATCATCCACGTCTCCGACGACATTACCGAGAACAACTTCAATGCTTGCGGGTTCCTATACAACAGTGACACGAAAACGTGTACATTAAAACTACCGCAAACGTCTACATCCCAATCACACTGACGTCACCTTGCACATACCCGGAATTCATGAACAAGTATCTATTGCATTATAATCCGAAGGATAATCAATTTTATTCGAAATATGTTTTACCGAAATTTTTGCCAAGCGATGTGTCGCTCTATAGAGAAATTACTTTTAAATATTTGTTCAAATACATAACTAATTATATAGATCTGAGTATAATATGGAAAGTCGTATGAAATAGTCCCTTCTGCTCCTAATAATTAAAAGAACCAATATCATACCGATGTAGTTAAATAACGTTTTTATGTAAACCCATAAGAATTTTATACATCAACATTGTTTTTTTTTTTTTGTTGCGGTTTAGGGTGTAAAATAAATCATGTGCGTTTGTGTTGCTGGGTGAATCGAGTACCCATACAGATTCATACATTTTCTATACATTTCCCCTTACTAATTGCCATATTTTTTCGGTTTATTCCAAAACCGGTAGCACATAAAATTCACAATCGTGTTCGCGTTGTACGATTGGCGATGACACTCTAACAAGTCACTATAAGAGATTTTGAAATAATGATAGACCTTACCTAAACGGTTCTTACGGATTCTACAGATTACCTACCTATTCCAACACAACGACAGGTTAGGTTCACAGACCAACATATTCAGCTAAGGGATAGTGTTTTGATAACCGTGGTATAAGTAGACTAAAAACAGCTGCTGTGGTGATAATACATAATATATTTTGTCATTAACAGATATTACAGAATCCCCCCCCCACTATTTATACTCTACGTTCAACAAGTAACAACACAGTACAGATTAATATGTTACATATCATAATACATTTTTTTTCTACCAAATTTTAAGTGGATTGGTAAAGTTGTAAAATCGATGGCCCAAAAAGGTACTTCTGAGTTACGATTGATCTATAGCAAGGGAGGCAAACCTTTTTAGGATCAAGAGCCAACATTTTTCAACCAAAGTTTTTAAAACTGTTGTCAAAAAAAAAAAAATGACTCTATTAATGATGAAAAAAACTACAACTATATTACAATACATATTATATTTTATCAGATACACGTATGGTTTTGTTTTATAAATTATTTACACGTCATATTATGCTTAAATTAGTGGTTCGATATTGAATTCAAATAATTAAAAATTTGATTGTACTTCAGTGTGGTTTTTGTTGCATGCGGTTGGATTTTAAGGAGTTTCGTATAGGCAATATTTGAGAAAAGGGAGGTTTTAATAAATTTCGATCATGTCAATTAATTTACCGGTTTAAATTGAATAGGCTTCATGGTATTATTTTTAATTTAAATTATTTTGTCTGTGAGTAAATACTATTTTAGTCAATATAACATACATTTTTTGTTCCATCGCACAGGCTTAACCAGTGATCCGATAAGTAATCTGAAAACAGATTTGAATTTTTCATGAAGTTTACTTTTGATCGGTCAGGTTATTGTTTTGATATCTTACTCTTACTATGTATAAAACACGTTTGGACATTTTATAAAATTTCAATGTTTTAAAATAAAATTTAGAAGGGGTTAAACTTAAAAATTGAAAAAAGTACCTCGACCGATCCTAAGCAAACTTCATGACAAATTCAAATCTGTTTTTAGATTGCTTATCGGATCACTGGTTCGGTCTGTGCAATGGAATAAAAATGATGTGTTTTGACTGAAAAAACCGACCGCATGCAATCCCCTTATAGCTCTATTCTAGATCTACATTTGGTCTTGGACATGTTTAATAGGTACATGAATAATGTGTATTAATTGTACCTCATGAAAAAAAAACCGTAATTCCAAAACATATCCACGGTTCAATGTTTTTCGTTGGAGCATTTTTATAATATTTTTAATAGATTCTATATTGTTTTTTTGCGAACCACTAGAGTTCGGCAGACCTCTCCGTGTCTTTATTTAAAATATCTTTTTTCGATGGCTACATTTTGCATGCAATCGACGCGGCTCTCGTGTAACATGCAGTTACACCATGTATTATTCGCTTTATTATAAAATCAAAACGATGAGCTAACAAAGAACTCAGTATTTGTTCAGTGCTACGCGATGGTTTGGTTTCGTTCAGTGTGATTCATTTTAGTCTCAACAGTTACTGGTTAAATTGTATAATTCAACATGTACAAAATGAATCTAACCAAGTGTTTGGCCGCCATATTTTTGATGGAGATTGTTATTGCATCCGAACCGTTCGCGTCGGGTTTACCGCCTGCCAAAATGGTCAAAGAAATTAAACTCATGCTGACTTATACCGGATGGAAAGACATATTGGATAACGCGAAAACGAACACTGCCGGAAAACAGGTGGGTGATGAGTACGTGGCAAAGTTGATCGATCACAAGGATGACATTACAATAGAGAACGTGTTGGCCGTTAACGAACACATTACCCTCATGTTGAACTGCAGGTACTCGAGTAGATTTTTGTTCTTGGTAAGCATACTGAACGACCTGGCAACCGAATGCGGATACTCGGCTATGTCGCCTCGACAGTCCGTTTTTCCTGTATCACCGTTGAATCCCTGCGAAGAAGCAATGGTGTCGGCGTACAAGCTGACCTCGAAGGACTTAACGTACGCCATCAGTGCGTTGATGTATTTGCATAAGTTGGACTCGACCAGAAGACTTAGCAGCGGCATGCTTATTATCGGCAACTCGTTTGGAAGACATGTTGGCTATTTGTTGGACTACTTGCAAGAGGCCGACCCACCAAAACCGTTAAATTATATCAGAAAGAAATTGCTAACCTGCGTGAGCTCTATGAAGCCTTTAAGCGTAGAATTGTTTGAATATTACGCCAATAATTGTCGTGTAGAAAACGATTACCGGGACCGGATGATCAATTATAGTCAAGTGTTCAACGACGTACGACAACAATTCAGTCTGGACCAGCGTTTGTCTTATCTCCTAGGCAATATCGGTTATGTCTCCGACGATATCACTGAACAAAACTTCAAGGCCTGCGGGTTTATATTCAGCAGGGACCCGTTTATGTGTACATTAAGACAACCAGAAGCGTCTACATCCTAATAATTCCATAGACGTGAAAAAAATGTGTGTTTTTAAATAGTTTAAATAAACAATTGATAACTTCAAAGTTGAAGTTTTGAATGGTTTTCAACAGTTTCTTCTTCTCTCTATTTAAATGAAACAATATTAGTATTGTTTACACATTATTGTAAGTTAAATTGTTTTTACGTATGTGTTTAAGGTACATTTTCGAATAAGACTATTTATCTCTATACATGAAAGTCATATATTTCTAAGACTATTTTTAAAAAGTAACATTTCAAAATGATGATTATTTTGGTTTACTTCAAGCTATCTTACATAGTTATATTTAATATAGATACATATTTACCATAATTGGATTGTAGAAAAAACGATTTTAATTTTAAGTACTTATAACAATGTAATATGTTTAAAAAAAATGTTTATATTAATCTAAATTACAATATATCAAAATGAACCATTCAACCTGATTTTTTGTGTTGTTACTTAAATTTTAAAAATAACTTTTCATCTAGTTTAGGTTAAAAAATCACTCTTTTTTTGGCTACAATAGTAAGCAAGGCCGAAAAATCAGAAACATCCAAAATTTTAAAGTCAAATTGGACACTAGGGATTAGTACTGTGAAATATATATTTTTTTTTTGTGCTACTTAGTTTTGGAAAATACTCACTGATTATCAACTGTATACACATAAACGTCGCGTCGCCAGAGTCAATACAGTCATGGGCAGAGTATTTTGCATCTTATATTATAGTTTTGCTTTTAAATATACACATTGTTAATGGTAGTTCTTAGTTAGATAACAAACTCAGTATCAAGGACAAATTTGATATGTGTGACCAAAACAGAGGCGCAGCGAACGCTAGTAAATATATATTGAAAAGCAATTTATAAACTGAAAGTTTTCAAGGCAAGGAGGAAGAAACAGATTTAAGATTAACTAGATTAGAGGGGATAGAAACTGCAGTAATGGCATTGGCAATTTGGAAAAACCGGGATAGCAGGTGTTTCAAAGACTTAGTACATAATATAAAATAATCTTTATAATATTACGTTACAGTAGGTACAGTAACAATTAATTACAATTGTGCAAATGCAAATAGGTACTATTTAATTACTAGCCAAAAAAAAAAAATATATACAAAAATATGTGTTTAATCGAAATTGCCTATTTATAATAGTGGAATAATTGAGATGAAGCGGAGATGTTGCTCGACTTTTGTGAGGCCAGCACATGACGTATGGAAGTGGATGTCGGAAACTGAATAAGATAGTTGAAAGGTAGCTGAAGGAATTGACTAAAATAAAAATGTTAGGATATATGTGCAAATTGCCTCGATTAGTGAGAATTAGAAATGAGTCTATGAGAGGTAGGTAGCGAGCAAATAAAGAAACGATAATGGTTAGACATTTTCAGAGAGAGAGAAAGGTTTTGACTGGCAAAGTTATAATATTTTTTTGTTCGACTTATACACTGTAAAAGAAAAATGTTATTCTCTAACGAAGAATGTTACACTATTTTGGTATCATCATAAAATATTTCTTGACAAAACGAGTGTCTTACAAGAATGGCATTTCCTCGTACGCGCTGTGCTAATAGTCATTTAAATATATTGAGATAAAAAAACAAACAAAATATAAAATCCGATTATTAGCCATATTATGGAGATCACTTGACAAACCAAAATAAACAATCAAATATTGTGCACAAAAAGTGTTATATTCTATAATCCTAGAGGGGTAAGGTATGACTTTGAAAAACTTAATCAGCAGATTCCGTCAAAAAACGGAAAAAGTACATAAAGAAACCTGTTATCAGAGCTTGGATAAATGCAGTTACTCAAAATTTAAATTTCGTTAGTTGCATCGTTGATTGTAATAACACATTTCATTTTTTTTCTTCTTAGAAAATGTCTTTATTATATTGAATACTTACATCTATACAAAATATATGCACAACAGTAAATGGGTAAGCAGTAAATTTGTTTAAATAATGTAGCTTGAATAACATGCAGTAGGGGATACCCACATTTCATTTCTATAATATTTTGTTTGCAGTGATGTCTATAATCGTTTGAACAAATGACTATAGTCATACTATCAACCCCAATCGTATCCACCCTAACGTTAAACACATCATCTCAAGCGCATTATTATCATTACAATGCTTTTCTATATTATACATTTTTTAATCGCATGAAATAACAATCGTTATTTAGACGCTAATGTAGTATGTATATTTTACGGCTTTTGTGTTTTTCGATTTCAAAGCAACACCTAAATAAATATTCATGAGTCAGCGTCTCCGGTCTCCGCTATGGTTATTGCCACCGGTGTTTACTTTATATGGTATTCCCAGTAAGAATATAACACGTGTCTATTTACTTTTACCCGACTTTTAATAATAATTATCGGTAGGTATACGAGAAGTTTTAGTCGAGTCAAGAATGACAGCTGGACGCTACATTTTGTTTTTGTTAACGCTTTGCGTGTATGGTTTACGGGCAGACGATGAAATCGATCACCTCGTAGACCAACTGAACAAGATACTAGCATTTCCCGGATGGGCGCAGTTGTCTGGAATTGAAATCGTACTAAACGACGGTTCTGAGATTGACGAGTACATAGCTATAGACGACGTCCTCGCGACTGGACCAAACGAGGAAATAGTCAACAGCGAAAACGTCAAAACCAAACTCAAACACGTGCATCATTTCTTAACCTGCAAGTACTCTACAATGCTGAACGACTGTTGCGATTACATCAAGCTGGCAGTGGAGCAGTGCGAAAAAATGGCCGCGTTTGAGTGTTTGCCACAAATAGTGAAGCTTTACGAGGCCATCGATCCGTTGGTGCTGCTTATACAAGGTACACTATCGTATTTCCATCAAACGTCCCTCGACCTTAAATATAACGAGTCGTATTCCAAGATCCTAAAAGGCTTTAAACATTTCTATGGCCTTCTAAAAATATCTTTCGACAGAAAGGTAACCGCGAATCCGTACGCTGAAATTTTGATTATCGAAAATAAATTGTGGACTGTTAAAAGACAGTTAAGACAATTCTTTGATTTGTCTTGTTACCCGTTGAAGATTATTGAAGACGAACTTAAGGAACACGACCAGACCTATAATTCCTTACTTAGTAATGCGAGTGCCACGGTGAGTAGCCCCAAAGATCATATAAATGCGATAACTGACCGATTCCAAAACAATCTAAACGAATTCATACAATCAAACGAGGCCTTTGGATTCATGTACGATACGGTATCCAACACTGTCCGTCCCATGCTGGACAATCAAGCTTTGGGAAATCCAACAGACGCAGAACTCGACAACAGTCTACAATAGTTATCCATTTAATGGTATACGTTATTTAAATTTTAACATACATTTTATTAAATTACAAAATATATACAACAGTTGTAAAATCTTTGAAAATTGAAAAATACCTGCATAAATTATAAAACAAAAGCGTTAAATAAGTCAGTTAATCCTAAAATTGAGACATCAATCATTTCTGATGCCTAGCTAACAAAATTATAGCAAATAAGGTTTGGTTGATGCCTATGATTCCGAATGTAGTCTTGCAACAGGCTATGGAATATTGTATTATCGAAAATAAGATACAATGCATTTTAGAGTATATAATAATATGATTTACACAATAATAGTTGTTAGGTTGGACAGAAAACAAAAACAAATTTGTTTTCACAATTTAAGAATATAAATACATAAATATATTGTTATCTGTTTTGTTGTACTTTAAAATTTAAAAATAAAGTGATATAAGTTTTTCTTATTTTACTTTTTCAAGTGTACTTTTGAGACTTGAGGTCCGAAAATTAGACTGTCGGTAGAACAAGTGTAGCCCGGAACACTTACAATTGTCATCATTTCTTAACCTGCAAGTATTCTACAACGCTGAACGACTGTTGCGATTACATCAGGCTGGTAGTGGACCAGTGCGAAAAATGGTCGCGTTCGAATGTTTGGCACAACTAGTGAAGCTTTAAGAGGCCACCGATCCGTTGGTGCTGCTTATACAAGGTACACTATCGTATTTCAATCAAACGTCCCTCGACCTTAAATATAACGAGTCGTATTCCAAGATCCTGACAGACTTTAAGCATTTCATGGCCCTTCTAAAAATATCTTTCGACAGAAAGCTAACCGCTAATCCGCACGCTGAAATTTCGATTCGATTCGGTTTAACGGCTTAAAAGATATCGTGGGTACAAATACAAAAATATAAATATAAAATAATAAAAACACAGTGCCCACACATGCAAATAAATAAAAATAAAGCTAGTACAGTGAGTCGGGGCAAAGTGGGGACGGAGAGGTCTCAGGTCTACAGATTTTATCATAGCTGAAAGTGATAAAATCACTTTTAAATAAACGCTTCGATGCCAATCTGTGGATAGTATGTTCAAACCAGTTATAGCGGTTTAGAAGATATCGTGGGACCAGCAATAATGTACTTAAAATTTAATATTAAGTCTTGTGCAGGGTGGATACGATAAGGGTTGATCGTCTGTCTATAAAAATGTACTGTCATAGTTACTCATACATCGTAGTGAACAATATAATGGACATTTTTTCATTACCTGTTGACTGTTGGTTCGCTCACACATAGTAACCTAGAAACTGCCAAAGTGTAAATTTACCCTTTTTTTGGTATTTTTCCTTAAAAAAAAAATTTGACTACAGATTTTTGAGAAAATTGTATACGTTATAGTTCCATTTTAGATCTACCTTCGGTCTAATTTTCAGATATAAATCTCTCAAATTTATAGAGCATTGTAAATTTAAGTTGAACAATTTGTAAATTTCTTGGGCGTTTTTCTCGATTTTGATAAGAAAGGAGTGACTTTTTTGGCCTAATAAAGTACCTTTCAGGTATGATTTCTAATCCATAGAGTTGCCAAAATATAAAAGCATCTTAATGCAATGTTTAATAGGTACATGAATAATGTATATTAATTATATCCCATGAAAGAAAATCGTAATGCCAAATCATATCCACGATTCAATGTTTTTCCGTGGAGCATTTTTATAATATTTTTAAGATTTTTTGCGAACCACTAGAGTTTGGCAGACCCCTCCGTGTCTATATTTTAAATATCTTTTTTCGATGGCTACATTTTGCATGCAATCGACGCGGCTCTCGTGTAACATGCAGTTACACCATGTATTATTCGCTTTATTATAAAATCAAAACGATGAGCTAACAAAGAACTCAGTATTTGTTCAGTGCTACGCGATGGTTTGGTTTCGTTCAGTGTGATTCATTTTAGTCTCAACAGTTACTGGTTAAATTGTATAATTCAACATGTACAAAATGAATCTAACCAAGTGTTTGGCCGCCATATTTTTGATGGAGATGTATATTGCGTCCGAACCGTTCACGTCGGGTTTACCGCCTGCCGAAATGGTCAAAGAAATTAAACTCATGCTGACTTATACCGGATGGAAAGACATATTGGATAAAGCGAAAACAAACACTGCCGGAAAACAGGTGGGTGACGAGTACGTGGCAAAGTTGTTCGATCACAAGGATGACATTACAATAGAGAACGTGTTGGCCGTTAACGAACACATTACCCTCATGTTGAACTGCAGGTACTCGAGTAGATTTTTGTTCTTGTTATACATCCTAATCCACCTGGCAACCGAATGCGGATACTTGGCTATTTCGCCTCGACAATCCGTTTTTCCTGCTTCACCGTTGAATCCCTGCGAAGAAACAATGGTGTCGGCGTTTAAGCTGACTTCGGTGGACTTAACGCACGCCATCAGTGCGTTGATGTATTTGCATAAGTTGGAATCGACCAGAAGACTTAGCAGCGGCATGCTTATTATCGGCAGCTCGTTAGTAAGACATGTTGGCCGTTTGTTGGACTACTTGCAAGAGGCCGACCCGCCAAAACCATTAAGTGCTATCAGAAGGCAATTGCTAACCTGCGTGAGTTCTTTGAAGCCTTTTAGCGAACAATTGTGTGAATATTACACCAATAATTGTCGCGTGGAAACCGATTACCTGGACCTAATGGACAATTATAGTCAAGTGTTCAACGACGTACGACAACAATTCAGTCTGGACCAGCGTTTGTCTTATCTCCTAGGCAATATCGGTTATGTCTCCGACGATATCACTGAACAAAACTTCAAGGCTTGCGGGTTTCTATTCAGCAGTGACACGTTTATGTGTACATTAAGACAACCAGAAGCGTCTACATCCTAATAATTCCATAGACGTGAAAAAAATGTGTGTTTTTAAATAGTTTAAATAAACAATTGATAACTTCAAACTTGAAGTTTTGAATGGTTTTCAACAGTTTCTTCTTCTCTCTATTTAAATGAAACAATATTAGTATTGTTTACACATTATTGTAAGTTAAATTGTTTTTACGTATGTGTTTAAGGTACATTTTCGAATAAGACTATTTATCTCTATACATGAAAGTCATATATTTCTAAGACTATTTTTAAAAAGTAACATTTCAAAATGATGATTTTTTTGGTTTACTTTCAGCTATCTACATAGTTATATTTAATATAAATACATCTTTACCAATAATTGGATTTTAGAAAAAACGATTTTAATTTTAATTACCTATAACAATGTAATATGTTTAAAAAAAAATGTTTATATTAATTTAAAATACAATATATTAAAACGAACCATTCAACCTGATTTTTTGTGTTGTTACTTAATTTTCAAAAAAAACTTTTCATCTAGGGTAGGTTAAAAAATCACATTATTTTTTACTACAATAGTAAGCAAGGCCGAAAAATCAGAAACATCCAAAATTTAAAAGTCAAATTGGACACTAGGGATTAGTACCGTAAAATTATCATTTTTTTTTTTTTTGTGCTATTGAGTTTTTATTTGGAAAACACTCAATGATAATCAACTGTATACACATAAACGTCGCGTTGCCAGAGTCAATACAGTCATTGGCAGAGTATTTTGCACCTTATATTATAGCTTTGCTTTTATATGTATACTATTTTTATGAATTTTTATAGCATTCAAAAAAGACTTATTCTTTTGATACCTGGCCTGTAGTTTTGTCTACAACAAAGTACAGATTACTTTTAATTTGCAAAACTAGCATAACTTGGATCTTCTTTAAAGTGACAAAAACAAACAAGTGGTAGAACCTATGTACTACAAAATAAATTTTATTTTAGTAGTAAGTTGGATACGATTAGGATTGATCGTCTATCCATACAAATGTGATTCTATACGGATGTAATTATTTAAGAAAATGCTAAAGTTTATTTATTAAACTTGTTCCTAAATAATATTTATTTACCCAGAGTAGTGTAAGACTATAAGAATTGCCTATACTAATATAGTTTTTTAGGTTTTTTTTTTTTACTAGGCTTTATTGGAAATATAATGCAGTTCAACGATTACAAGGTATAAAACTAATTTAGGTACAAGAAAAATACAAAATATACACATTGTTAATGGTAGTTCTTAGTTAGATAACAAACTCAGTATCAAGGACAAATTTGATGTGTGTGATCAAAACAGAGGCATAGCGAACGCTAGTAGATAATATATTGTAAAGCAATTTATAAATTAAAAGTTTGCAAGGCAAGGTTGAAGAAAAAGAGGTTGAGATCAACTAGATTAGAGGGGATAGAAACTGCAGTAATGGCATTGGCAATTTGGGCAAACCGGGATAGCAGGTGTTTCAAAGACTTACTTTTAGGGCTAATCGTAGTCCAGTCGTTGACAGAGCCGTGATTCTTCACCAAAGTAAATTTGATTATTGGGCCGGCACCGGTTTTCAGTGGCCGACCCGAACAGCCAGGAGAAAACGGGCATGCACTAAGTATTTTTGGTAGAAAACCTACCGAAGCAAAAAACTTGGAGCACTGGGACAGGTGAGCGAACGATGGGAGAAATATTGAAGAGCACTTTGTATATTGAGAGTTTTTGAGGCAGAGTAGAAGAGAGAAATTTTAGCTCAACAAGGGTAGAGGGGATGAGTAAGTTATCTTTCTTGCTATTGATACGGCGAAAAGAAACTACTTGCGCAGTACAATCGAGGCCATCCCAAAAGTCGTCTTCAGTTATGCTGCGGTCTAAACGAATAACGCCTAGACAATATAACAGCGTGTTAGGTATAGAAGCTGCATAGCCGTTTTCAGGAGGAAAGCACGTGAGCTCCATAGGTTGCCTATGTGTCTTGACTTTAGGCGCGTCTCCAATGCTCGAAGATATACTGGACGTGTGCATGTTGGGTGAACTAACTACGACAATTTCGGGAGAATCAACAACCGTATCGGATTGAGATGACGAGGTCCAAGAAGAAGTCTTGGTTAATTTATGCTGGTGGCCGTTATTATTATCACTGCTGTCGCCATTACCGTCAGTAATTTGCATTGTTGCTGGGGGACTCTTGATTATCGAAGGAGAAGTTAGTGCCAGGAGGCACTAATTGAGGTTGATTATCTATTGAGTGTTGTAAATTTGGAGAGACCGGGCTAGTAGGTTTTTTTTTCAAAGACTTACGTTTAGGGCTAACCGAAGTCCATTCATTGACAGAGCCATGGTTCTTCGCTAATGTAGATTTGATTTTTGGGCCGGGGCCGATGTTCGGTGGCCGACCCGAACTGCCGGGAGAACCGGACATGCACTAAGAATAGTTATAGAAAACCAACCGAAGCGATTGAAAAAGTACAATAATAATCAAACGACTCGATAACACGGCGGTGCTTTTGCGCAGTAGATAAGAACGCGGCGGTGCACGACTTATCACAAAGACGGTAGAAAGATTGTATAATATATTTTAAGATCATCTGCAAAAAGTTGAAATTTACAGTGAGTAAAGCAATTATCAATATTAATCAGGTATAGTAACAACAATGCAGGGGATAGATGACCTCCTTGAGATACTCTAAATTAGTTACGGAAGACTTGTAGCCAGCTTTGTAAATTGGAAATACATAACTAAGTTTGCAAAGGGACGGGAAGTTTCCACTTTTTAGTGACCAGTTAGACAGAATTTGAATTGGAAGAGATAATGCACACTTGCACGATTTCAAGAGGATTTCATGAATCCCATTAGGGCCAGGAATGGGATGAGAAGTTAATCCGTCAAGTTCTATATATATATCATTATTAGTTAGAATTTTATTCTCAAATTCAGAGTCGTTAGAATTATTTTATATTAAATTATGTGTCGCATGCCATATGTTGGTTTTAGTCCCAGACCGGCAACTCAGTGGCCACTCGGTCGACAATCGTGTTACATATCAATTCAACAACATTATTTTTTTCGTAAGAACATTTTTTAATGAGATACGAGTTAAATAATTTTAAAATTATAAAAAATGAATATAATTTATTGTACCCATAGAGCATCCTGAATGTCTTATTTGAAGCTCGGTAGAACTTTACATGACACCCTGTATATATATATATATATATCAGATATATAAGATTTACATAAGGAAGATCGGTTGTATTAGTTAAGGAGTGATTGAAATTTTTTACATCTAGATTATAATTAGTGTATACTGAACTAAAAAATTGTTTAAACAAGTCGGCTATTTCGGGACCATTAGTCCTAGTTATATTATTTAATTCCATCACAGCAGGGATATCATTGTCGGTTTTAAGCCTTTAAATATATTTCCAAAATGATTTTGGATTATGAGTAAGATTTGTTTGTATTTCATTCATGTAAGATACGTTATTTGGTTTTGATTCTAATTTACAGAGGGCACGTAATCTCGAGAATTTATAATAAAATTGAGGATCATTTGATTGTTTAAATAATTTATGGTATTTTTTTTCTCACAAATTATATTTTTTAATTTATTACTGTACCATATAGGGAAAGTGGATTTGATATTATTAAATTTTGGGGATAACTTCGTTACTAGCAACATTTATTAATTTATAAAAGGTTACAACTGCAGTGGTAAGGGTAGGTTGATTCAAGAGAATAGTGTTCCCATTTAAAGAACATAAGGACCCCCTTGTATATAAACTCTATTTCCTGTTGTCCATTGTAAATATAAACTGATTCTTTCCGTAAAAGTCTGCGTCGATCCCGTGTTACTATCGTCCAATTTTCTACCGGTATGCCATCTGAACAGCTACCTATGATAGTGTGCGTTAGGTTGTCTACCCAAAACTAATTAGGCGTAACAACTCAGTACTGCTTCCTTTTTCCTCTCGTGACGACAGACTTCGGCTGGTCCTTCGATACATTTTTTTTTTGTTGTTGTATCAATATAACACATAATTACCGAATAAATAAAATTGTATTTTTATCTAATCTATTCCAACTATTTGTTTTTGCTTCTAAACCATTTCCTTATTGTTCTACTATTTTATTAACTGACTGTGCGCACATTTGGGCGACAGGTTCATCGTTTATATTTCTATTAGATAATTCATCTTAATGGTTGATATATAGAGATTTTATGTTAGAGGTAACATAACCTAAATGGAGTTCTAATGTCGAGTGACTAAATAATACGGTGTAGAATATATTATAAACATAAATTTAGCCAGTTGTAAGAGAAAATATCCAGGCCGGTCAACTACAATGGTATTGGCAGGGTACGGAAATTGATGCTACAAAATATTTTAAATAAAGAAGAATGTCGATTTCAATTTTTTTTTTGCAACGCATTATTGTGTGCTAGATTCCAAATTTGTAAAATTGTTTATGTGGATGTGTATTGATTTAGAGAAGTATACTGTGTGGGCTATTACTCATGTTTTGTTTTTCGCATTGCTGCGAAACAAAAAAAATAAGACACTAAAAAAATGACTATTGTTTTTTTTCACACAATATATTCAAGGTCTTTTATGTCTAACTTAAATCTGAGTACATATACTGTTATTGTAAATTTGTATGTGTAATATTATTGTGACTCATATGTTAGTCCGTATCGATACGAATTTAAGGTAAATAATATGCTTGCGAATTTCATGTAACGAAAGTTCAATGCATAAAATAAAACTATCAATTGGAAACCCAAATTTGGTTAAAGAATTCTGTACACGTCGAAAAAAAAAATCGTTCTAATCGTTAAAATTGTTCTAGATACAAAACAAAAATTTATATTATCAAATATTTTAATAATTATCATATATGGATTGAATTATTAATATATATATATCATTATATTTTTAACTCATATTTTCAAATACTTATTAGGAGGTAGTGATAGATCGCCTCCTCGTGGTACCCCCTGGGCAACGGTCATCTTCTCAAGTCAAACGGCGAAAGATCTATCAACTCGGTGGCCAAACTATCGTGTATAACGTTCTCCTGGCCTTGTTACATGCAACCAAACAGAACACAATCGAAACGAAAGATTCGACCCAATATTTATTTTCAAGTCTATATTGAATGGGCATAAACGATAATTTTCTTTAAAAAAATTGTATACACGTTTAACATTATATATATGCTACCTAAACTAATACATATATATATATATATATATAT